CGCTAGAGTAGCGAGTCCTTTGCCTTCTTCTGCCATTACTTTGACATTGTGACCGCCTATGAGGTAACCCAAAACACAATCATTTTTGCTTTAACACTGCTCTGATTTACACTTTAGCAATTGTCATCATTTAACAATTTGTACACTCTCTGTTTGCAAATCGTGTGGTAGCCTTAGGCCATGATGCCGGCCGGGGTGCGGGACCAGTATGCAGGAGTGTGAGGCACGTCGCGTTTTCGGATTCTACTAGAGGGCTCAGTCTGCCAGGCCTGGTTCTTGAGTGAGAGATTCATCCGCTAGACCATGGGCTTGTCAGATCCGGACGTTCCAATGCCACCTCCAGAGTCTATGAGGACAACAGATAGCCTATCTATTGATGTAGTCATTCTGTTCATGGTGGGCTTGGATGCTGATTTCTTTAGAGACGATGGCGACTACATGACCTTTATTCAGACCCATCTCTTGCCTCCTTTGACCGGGGCTCACGTAGGTGGAGGGGCAAGGGCTCCTGCGGCAGGCGAGACGGCTCGGGCGACTAGGGCCCATACCAGAGGGGTTTCCTTGTTTAGCAGACTATCCACTAGCCAGAGCTTCCTACCGCGCTCACATGCTGGAGGGCGACTGATATTGCTTATCAGATTCTGATTGAGCCGGCAGAGGCTGGACACGAGCTTGTCGGAGTTCGAGGCTCGTCTCAGGTATGGACCATACTTTACCATTTGCACCCCACATTTCCATTTCAGATATGTTCATTGCAGACATTGATTATCCAATTGCGTTTGCAGGCATCTCTAGAGTATACGGGGAGCCTCCTCGAGCTGGTAGCTTCCATAATGGGTATGGTGTAGAAGAGGGAGACGCTGGTTGTTCTCCACGGCATCTAGGTAATTTCCTTCAATTTGCTGTAACGCCCCGAAAATAATACTATAAAGATAACTCATATGCGGATTAAATATGAGAAGCAACATATTTTCATACATCAGAGTTTACTGTTTAACAAACAGTTAAATGCCATGTAGGCTTACATCTTTCCAAGTCACTGCTTGGTTACACAAATTGAGTCTCGTTCATTACATCTTAAGCCCTCGGCTTTACAAATAACAAACATACACACATAAGGCATAAATAAGAAACCCTTGCTTCCCAAAAGTCCACCCATGCTATTGCCTTGGAGGAAATAATTCACTTGCACCTGAAAATGATATTCCCACATAGGGTGAGCCAACAGCCCAGTAGAAATAATCTAACACAATATATGAGGTTTAGCAAAGGTATAAATACCACGTATATAAACAATACCAATACAGAAGTATTCACAAGGCCTGCATATTCATATGCCACTAAGATCAATCTTATTCCATTTTTCTTCAATTCATTTCCAATTCATATGCACTACTCAATTCATGAGTTAAATTCTTTATCTTTCAACAACAACCAGTATGAGATTACAACTCAACAGTTTTTCCATTTATGTGAAATACACATAAACACTTCAAACTTGCCATTTTACGGATATTTCGTCCGAAGGAATCGGCACCCATTTATATATAAAATTTCGGGTCTTTCACCCAGGACACTCTGGCCAACTTGCTTTAAATGGAGTCCATCCCCTTTCTTCTCCTAAACAAATATACATACGCAATGTATTTAAAAACATAATCACATATGGAGTACATCCCCTATCTCCTCCCAATAAACATACATATACAATGTATTTAAACACATTATCATATACAACGATCAATTATAGCACATATTCAATGTGTTAATCTAACCGTCATATTCAATGACATAATTCAGTTGACTAGTTTCAATTTACCTAATCATCATGCAGTTCTACAACAATCATGGCTATCCTCCACCAATAGCCCAAAACAATTATCACTAAACAGGTAAATAAATTTATCAACAGATAAATTATTACATCTTCCATAGGTGAGTGATTTATCAATCCAACTATACCATTCAATTACATTTCCATCCAATTTCATCATTTCCAATCCAATTATATATTCCCATAATTAATTTCATTATTTTGACAAACAATTCATTTAATCCCAATTAGGGCATTTTCCCCTCTTTCTCAAATAACAATCCCAAGGCTCAATTTCATCAATTATACACAAATAACCCCATTTCAAAACCCCATATTCGCAATAGAGTCCAAAACCAAGAAACCCCTCTTTTATACTTTCAAATCCAAATCTTAGATTTGTCCAAACTACAACCAAATCTCATCATCTATACATAATAGTAAATAACTAAGCTAAAAATCATATTAGAGTGTAGAAAATTCCTGCCTCAAGTTTTGAAGAGAATCTGAATGAAAACTCCAAAATTCGATGTTGCTGAAATTCGATCTCCACCGGTTAAAATATTGCTCTCGCCCAGCTCTTCATTTTGGTCTCAAGAACATGGGTCTGAAGTTCACTACAAGTGTCCCTACCAACCATCCCACAAAAAAGGGCTAAAAACACACTGCCCACAACTCACAAGCCCAATATACACACTGCCCATAAATAACGTAGGCCAAACACCATGAACCAAAAACCAACGTGGGCCAAGAATTTGGTCTTCCCCACTACCAGCAATTATAATTAGGGATGTAATCGGTTCAGTACAGTCGGTATTTAGGTAAAAGATTACACCGAATCGATAATGTCGGTTTTATTATTTTGAATACCGATAAAGACCGCTTCTCCCATCAAATCGCACCGAGCCGAATCAATTGAAACTGTTCGGTTTGGTGTGGTTTAATCGGGTTAGGATTTTTCAAACTTGAGCCACTTTTAAATATAATCATTAATCTATATAAAAATGTTATATTAGTTATTTGTTTACCATTTCAAACATATCCAATCCATCCATTTAATACATACTTTTCAATTCTTAAATTAACAAAAATAAAAACAAAAAAAGTTTAAAAATACTGAGATTTTAAGAATAATGAGTTAGAGTTAAGATTATATATAATAAGATTTTACAAACTTATGTTATAAAGATGATAATGTTAATTAATTATGGTTAATAATTTATTATACTTATTAATATCATTATATTATTACATTATATATTATAAATACAATATATGTTGAAGCGGTCGGTTTCGGTTTAAATCGGTGCACAAGGTGCTTAAATCGATACCGAACCGAAAATCAAAAAAAATCAAATTTAAAAACCGCACAGACTGATTCTTATTAAAAAAACAGACCAAATATAACCAATTTAATCCAGTTCAATCGATTTAATTGATTTTTTTCGATTTTTCTTACCTCCCTAATTATAATCAACATTGCCACAAATTCCTAGAATCAAAATGAACAAAGTGGGCCCATTTCTTTGAATATATAATATATATATATATATATAAAGCAACTAACAACAATCCACTATTTTCAAAAGTTGTTCTGAATAGAATCTGCTGCCAGGACCAAAGCCCCCGAAAACAAGGCCACAAACTTTGAACTGTCAAAAGCAAACCAAATATGAAGAGATCCAAGGAATCTTAGCCCACCCCAACAAGGAAAACAGGGACCTAGCCATCACATGCAGAACACGAGGCTTCAACACCATGGAAGAAAAGGTAAAACTGAAAGTGGACAGACTCAAAAACTGAAAGCTTAGCCTATGCATGATATGGATGCATGATGTCGATGCATGGCCACATTAAAACACAAACTGCCAACGAGGCAGAAAAAGACAATGGAAAATAAATTCTAGAACCCGAACCCGAACCCGTATCTGTATTCTCGGGGAAGCATGGCGATGAAGAAAGCAACGACCCATCATTTGGGCGGCCAAAATTCTTCCAACAGCTTCCTTATGGAAGGTAAGTTGCAAAAAGAGAGTTGCACGCCAAATCCCGAGAGCATAACACATCGCCATAGGCGCTCCACAAGCAGATCAACGATGCTGCTGCTTAGCGCATAGCAGTGCTTGATGTTCAACCCCACAAGAGTCTGACCCAACTGTACCAAATAAGGCAAGCTCTTGGCCGATATTCCTTATGGAAGGTAAGTTGCAAAAAAGAGAGTTGCACGCCAAATCCCGAGAGCATAACACATCGCCATAGGCGCTCCACAAGCAGATCAACGATGTTGCTGCTTAGCGCATAGCAGTGCTTGATGTTCAACCCCACGAGAGTCTTGTTGAAGAATGATTCAAAGTCTGACTTGGTCTTTTCAGGTTGTTAGTAGTGTCCGTATTTTTCCGAGTCTGTTTAGTCAATTGGGTAATTGCTGCTGATATTATGCTAGTGGCTGTAGTGGTCTAAGTTAGTGCCTTAGTGGTACATAAAATCTGTTCTGGTAGCTTAGTTTGTAAGCCTATATATAGGCACATTTGCTTCAGTATTTTTAACTTGAATAAGAGTACCCAAGAGTTCAGATTTTATATATTTCTTTGCCTCTGTTTTCTTGGTTTTTGCCTCTGTTTTCAATGTTATTCATTTTTATCTCCAACAAATTTGGTATCAAAGCCAGGTTGAGAGAGTGAGAAGAGAGGGTAAACACGTGAGTTGAGTGAAACACCTGAGAGGAAAAACCAATGGCCAGCAACGGCAATGCAATGAGTGCTGCACAACCACTCATCCCTGTCTTTTAGGGAGAAGGCTATGGATTCAGGAGTATCTGAATGATGACCCTATTCAAATCTCAAGATCTTTGGGATTTGGTAGAACAAGGCTACGCAGATCCTGATGAAGAAACAAGATTGAAGGAGAATAAGAAGAAAGATTCGAAGGCATTGCTGATTATTCAGTAGGCTGTTCATGACAGCATCTTCTCACGAATTGCAGCGGCAACCACATCGAAGCAAGCTTGGTCAACTCTGCAGAAGGAGTTTCAAGGTATTCAAAAGTTATCGTGGTGAAATTGCAATCACTACGGCGTGACTTTGAAACCTTGTACATGAAGAATGGAGAATCAATTGCTGATTTTTTGTCTCGGGTCATGACAATAGTCAGTCAAATGTGATCGTATGGCGAGAAGATTTCTGATGAAATGGTTGTTGCAAAGGTACTGAGAAGCTTGACTCCAAAGTTTGATCACGTTGTTGCTGCCATAGAAGAATCTAAGGATTTGTCAGTTTTTTCCTTTGATGAACTGATGGGGTCCTTGCAAGCACATGAGACAAGAATTAATCGATCACTTAAAAAGAATGATGAAAAGGCATTTCAAGTGAAGGACATAGTCACCAAAGTTGTAGAAAGTGACAGTTCGACAAACAAAGGCCGTGGAAGAGGAGGATTCCGTGGTCGTGGTCGTGGTTGTGGTAACGGAAGAGGCAGAGGTCGCTTCGATGGGCAACGGTAGTCCGGTGAGCAAAGAAACTACAAGAATGGTGTTCAATGCTATCATTGTAAGAGGTATGGTCATATAAAAGCTGATTGTTAGTACAAAGATCAGCAAGTGAATTATGCAGCAGGAAATGGAGAAGAAAGTAGTAAGCTTTTTATGACTCATTTTGATCCTAACAATATGTCAAGCGATGTGTGGTTCATAGACAGCGGCTATTCGAATCATATGACAAGGATGAAATCCTTGTTCAAAGAGCTTGATGAGACGCAGAAGTTGAAGGTGCAATTGGGAAATGCCAAAGAAATTCAAGTTGAAGGGAAAGGTACAGTGAGCATTAAAACTACCCATGGTAACATAAAGCTCTTACATAATGTTCAATTTGTACCTGATTTGGGATATAATTTGCTATGTGTTGGGCAATTAATGGCTGCTTGATATTCCATCTCATTTGATAATGATGCATGTGTTATTAGAGACAAGCACTCAGGTCGTACATTGATCAATATCAATATGACTCAAAACAAAATGTTCCCATTGGAAGTTTCAAGCATGGGGAATTTTGACTTTGTCGCTAGTGGAAAAGATGACTCGAAGCTATGGCATTTGCGATACGGGCATCTCAACATCAAGGGTTTGAAATTGCTAAAAGAAAAAGGTATGGCTTTTGGACTACCGAAAATTAGTTCCATTGAATTATGTGAAGAGTGCATCTATGGGAAACAAACTAGAAAGTCATTTCCAGTTGGAAAGGCCTGGAGAGCTTCAACGTGTCTCGAATTAATTCATGCTGATTTATGTAGACCTATGCAAACTAAATCTTTTTGTGGAAGTCATTATTTCTTACTATTTACTGATGATTATAGTCGCATGAGTTGGGTTTATTTTTTGGAAAACAAATCCAAAGCCTTTGAGAAATTTTAACACTTCAAAGCTAAAGTTGAAAAGCAAAGTGGATTTTGCATCAAAGTTCTTCGCACTGATAGAGGTGGAGAATTTTTATCCAAAGATTTTGATCTTTTTTGTGAAGAAAATGGAATTCAAAGGGAGTTGACAACTCCTTACACTCCAGAGCAAAATGGCATCGCCGAGCGGAAGAATCGACCTGTTGTGGAGATGGCAAGAAGCATGTTACAAGCAAAGGGACTTGCAAACAGATTTTGGGCTGAAGCTGTGGCAACATCAGTTTATTTATTGAATCTTTCTCCCACAAGGGCAGTCATGAATCGAACTCCGGTTGAAGTTTGGCGTGGCACAAAACCATCTATAAGTCACTTAAGAGTTTTTGGGTGTATTGCTTATGCTTTGGTAAATTCTCAATTTCGTCATAAACTTGATGAAAAATCTGAAAAATGCATTTTCATTGGTTACTGTATGCAATCCAAAGCATATAGATTATATAACCCTCTTAGTGGCAAGTTTTTAATTAGAAGGGATGTAGTATTGATGAAAATACAAGTTGGGATTGGCGTGGAAGTGATGAGAAAATGCAACAACAGGTTCCTATGGTCATTGGAATCTCTCCAAATGAAAGTCAAGTGCCAATTCCTACAAGTTCATCCAGTTCCTCTATGGCGTCACCAAGTTCACCCAGAAGAGACTCTTTGTCCACTCTTGAAGAGTCTTTGGATGAAACACCACCCAAAAAGTTTAGATCCTTGAGAGACATTTATGAGTCTTGCCAATTTGCTCTTACTGTTTCAGATCCTATGACTTATGGAGAAGCAGCTACAAAAAAAGAATGGCAAAGAGCGATTGTGGAAGAATTGACAGCAATTGAAAAGAACAGAACATGGGAGATGATGGACTTGCCGGAAGGCAAAAATGTAATTGGTTTGAAGTGGGTATTTAAGACAAAATTTGGTGCAGATGGAAGTATACAAAAGCACAAAGCTCGGCTTGTGGCGAAGGAATACGCACAGCAACATGGCATTGATTTCGAAGAAACTTTTTCTCCCATAGCTCGGTTTGAAACTATGAGAATTATTTTAGCATTGGCTGCACAATTACAATGGCCTATTTATCAACTTGATGTGAAGTTAGCTTTTCTAAATGGAGATCTACAAGAGGAAGTTTATGTAACTCAACCAGAAGGTTTCATGATTGAAGGCAAAGAGACAAAGGTGTACAAGTTGAGAAAGGCGTTGTACGGATTAAAGCAGGCTCCTTGGGCATGGTATACCAAAATTGATGGATACTTTCAGCAAAATGGATTCTTGAGAAGTGAGAATGAGCCCACTCTCTACATGAAGAAGGAAGGTAACAATGATTTCATCATTATTTGTCTTTATGCTGATGATATCGTTTATACAAGCTCCTCTAGTTCTCTTGTGGCTGAGTTTAAATCACGTATGATGCATGAGTTTGAAATGTCTGATATGGGTTTGCTGCATTATTTTCTTGGCCTTGAGGTCCAATAAGCAGAAGATGGAATTTTTATTTCCCAAAGAAAATATGCCAAGGATCTTCTTAATAAATTTGGCATGCTTAATTGTAAATCAGCAACTACACCCATGAATATCAATGAAAAATTACAATGTGAAGATGGGGCAGAAATGGCTGATGCTAGCAGGTTCAGAAGCTTGGTTGGTGGTTTAATTTATCTAATCCACACTCAACCCGATATTGCATTTTCTGTTGGTATGATTTCCAGGTTTATGTAACATCCTTCAAAGCTTCATTTTGGAGCAGCGAAGCGGGTCTTTCGTTACATCGCTGGAACTATGGATTATGGGATTTGGTACTCAAAAGTTTTTAATTTCAAATTATGTGGGTTCACGGACAGCGATTGGGCAAGTTCTTTGGATGATAGGCGGAGTATTTCAGCAAATGTTTTTACTCTTGGATCAGGAGTAATCACATGGAGCTCAAAGAAGCAAGCCACAGTAGCATTGTCGTCCTCAGAAGCTGAGTACGTTGCAGCCACTTCAGCAGCTTGTCAAGCCATATGGTTAAGAAGAATGTTGGCTGAACTTCAACAAAGGCAAGAGGGAGCAACGGAGATCTTTTGTGACAACAAGGCAACCATCTTTATGACAAAAAATCCAGCATTTCATAGCAGAACAAAACATATAGATATGCATCTCCATTTCATTCGTGTCAATTTTGTATAATTAAAAAGAAAATGAGAAGTTGGAGTTATGTTCATGATTATGAAAATTAACTTAGAAATTAATTATTTTGGGTTTGATTTTGAATATCATATAGGAATTTGAGCCTTATTTTTATATGCATTTAATTTGGAGAAATTAAGGAATTAATTCACGAACATCGTTAAGGTTAATCAATATAGAAATAATTATAATTCTTCAATTGAGCTTGGGTTTGGAAACCTTGATATATATGAGATGTAAATTTACATGCATCATAGATTTCTTGGAATTGATTTCATGTTTGATGAAATAAGAACTAAGCTTTGGAAAATTATGATTTATGAACAAATGAGTTCAATATTTAAATTAAAGGAGTTTTGATGTAAATGATTTAAAATTGATCATATTTTCTTGATTATTTAAGAATTGTATGTTTTTAGATAGGCCATGTATGAACCTAAGCTTGAAATTATTTTGAGAGCTCAATTCAAGTTTTAGAATTTGTAAGCTTGGAGTTGGGCTTGATACGAAGAACATGAATTGAGTTGAATTTGATGAATTTGAAGTTTGTATGTACATGCATGCAAGTGATTGTCATAAGTTTGCATATTTGATAACAAACATGCATTTTATAATGAATTGAAGGTTATTTGGCACATGCAAGCATGATAATGTTGAATTTCATGAAGTTGATCATCAATTGTACTATTTAAGTTGAAAATGAAGCCTATATTTCACATGCATGTATATTTCAAAATGATATGGAAATTAATTTGCATGAGCTTTGAAGTTATGAAGTGAGTTTGATATGATTCAAGTTTATGAGATGGATTTATGTAAATTTGAGATTCAAATCTTGTAAAGTTGGCCCTTATATTCATGTTAAAAGTTATAAGGTGAAAATATGAGTCTTATGATATTCGTTACATGGGTTGGCACCAAGTTTTGAAGAATTCGACATATTCGCTCGAGCGTGGAGAGTCTCGCTCGAGCATACCCTGTTTTACTAGACTCCTCGCTCGAGCGTCAAAAGTCTCGCTCGAGCATAATTTGCAAACAACCAGTATTTTCACAGACCAAAGGGGTCCGCTCGAGCGGCCAAAGCTACACTCGAGCAGAGGGCCCTGTTTCAGAAATTTTGAAAAGATGTTTTATACTTCGTTTTCCGTTCTCTTTCATTTCAAAGCACTCTTAGACATGTATTAAACATTGCAAATGAATTAAAGAACATGAAAGAAGCCTAAGATTGTTAAACAAGTTAAAGAATGGAATGAATTGTAATATGACCCAATGTGTTATGAATTATGTAGGGTCAAACGCAGGGATGAATCAAGCACCAGAACACTGTGAGTAATAACTTAGTAAAGCTATATTCAACTTTATTTATTTTCTGTATGATGAATTAAGATCTATTTTTTGAAATGATATGTTCTATACAATGAATGATTGTCCAATTTCTGACAATGTATTCGTGGCATTCTTAGCATCATGTGATATCTGTTAGCTGTTACCCGGTATCGGAGGTTCCATTATGGAACTTATTATGTCTGTCATCTGTTACCCGTACCGGAGGCTCCATCATGGAACTCAACATGTATATTCTCTGTTACCCGGTATCGGAGGTTTCATTATTGAACTTATTATGTCTGTCATCTGTTACCAGTACCGAAGGCTTCATCATGGGGCTCAGCATGTTTATTCTCTGTTACCCGAATCCGAAGGTTCCTTTATGGAACTGGTTATTCATAACCACCATATGTTCTGCATCTGTTCTGTTAGCGCTAATGGATGTACCATGTATGATTAAGCATAAATTTTTGATTTCTGTATTTGATTTGAACAAGAATATGAATATGAATCTGTTTATGATTCTGAATCTGATATGGACATCATTCATTAAAATCCTTTACTCTGTTATTATTCATTGGGCTCTAGTTCACTGTATTATTTATGTATGTAGATGATCAGGCGCGTGGCTAGGCTTAGAGGCATCTGCCCGAGATCTGTTTTTGTCAGCCAACCTATATGCCTCCCGTGGAGGTTCCGAATATGTCAAGTGACTATGACTATGTGATTTAAAGCTTAAGTTTTGTTTTCTTGTTTAGTTAAACAAGTCTTGTGTATTTTGTAAATGGGGCTACGTCCCCTTTTTATCTAATCTGTATATATAGAATGACGTAAGGATGATGTGTATATATGTACATAAAAAGTTTAAAATTTTTTTGTCTCATATAATTCTGCACAGCTCAATGGATATTGTATATTTGTTATTTGCTTCCGCTTGCCCCTAATATTATGTTAATTTGTCTTAGAGGCCTTCGGTAATCCCAAGATTACTAGCCGGTTACGATGCTAAACCTATAGGAGCGGGTTTGGGTCGTGACACATAGCTTTGCTGCCATATCGACAATTGTGGTTGTCGAATCTAACTTCATGAATGCTAGCCATACTTGCATTTGACGTTGACATTGACCTACAAAAAAATATCAACTAGCAAAAATCATTTACATTGTCAACCAACCTCCAACATTTAGCACAAAGCAAAGAAAAGCCAAGAGCATTCAGTAAAGAGCAAAGAGTAGCCTCTTACTGACTTAATTTAGTTTGTGAACAAATTTTATTCGTATGCATCTCTATTCTTTTTTCTCAATTAGTAAATCCACAATCTCCAAGTTATCTTCATCCGGTGGATTAAGAGAGCAAAGAGCATTCAACAATCTCCAATTTATGCACAATCTCTAATTTATGTAGCAATCTCCAATTTGTTGCCTACCCATTTTCACGCATAATCCCCAATTCGTCTTCATCCAATGCATTAAGAGGTAGGGGTGGTGTTATTGCCTACCCATTTTTTTAATGCAATATAAGTTGAACTTCACATACAAAAAATCAAATTAAGTAGATTATTAACAAGGATGAGTCACTGTATTCATCAATAATACACCAACAATAACAATATAAATACTCTCCAATGAATATAAAAAAAAAACCCCCCTTCTAAAACAACAATAAAAATGTAACATGAAATTATATATCCATGAACAATGAAACTATGAACACCATTTATATTTTCAATGTAGAACCATTATCATACACAATGAAAGCAATTGAAGATATATATATATATATAATATACATACATTTGTATCTATTTTGTATATATATATGTATATGCATTGGAGTTCTTTGTTTCTGATCTTCAATGAATTAAGCCCTTCCAATTTGACATGTTTAGGATTTTTTCTTTTTGTTCAATGAATGACCTTAATTTTTTAAAGCCCCAAATAAAGCCTTGATTTTTTATATTTCAAATCTACTTTACTTTCTCAATCAAAACCCTAACTTTATAATCTAAATTTAAAATTAGATTTCAAAGTTTGGAGGAGGAACTTATCTAGATTTCAGAGTTTGGATGAGGAACCTAGTTCAATCAACGGCGTGAGAGATAACAATAAATGAAGACCGACGATCTAAACAAAAAGATTTATTCGCTCTAGCAGACAACAATAGCAGATGGACGGTGGTCGTCAGTGAAGAATGGTGGACAGTGGTCGCTGGTGAAAAACAACGATGGTGGCTAGATCGTTCCAATATGGAGTTGTCTCCTCTTATCTCCTCCTCTCTTTCTCTCCTCTTTCACATTTTGCCTTTGTTTTTGAATTATTATTTTTTAAGCTGCTTTGAGCCGCATATTTTGAGTGGGGTGACGTGGCTTAATTTGGGCCGTTACTCGAAGAAAATGCAGGAGAGACCTATCTAGAGAGGATTTGGACTCCTTGAAGCAGAGTTGAATTTTATTCACATACTTTAATAAGTAAAAAATAGGGTATTTGATTTAAAATTCCAAATTTTAATTTTATTTGTTCAAAGATTTAAGCGCTAAAATATTATCCAAAAGGATAAACTCAAGTAAAATGACCAAAATACCCTTCGTTATATATATCAATCCCAAACCTTTTCAGATCTCTTTCTATCTCATCCACCAACGGTCCCAAACCCTCTCTCACTTAGATATTTTTCTCCTTTCTCAACGTCACTCGCTGCCATCTCCATTATCGTCGCCGACCACCGGTACCCAATCCTCCACTGTGCAAATCAAACGGTGGCGGTAGAGGGGATGAGATCCATGCGACGATGCCCCCTCTTTTTTCCATCTTCGATCTGGTTCTCTCTCTTTTCTCTCTTCATTGTCTTCTTCGATCTGAATCGCTACCATCGACATCCCATCCTATACCTATTCCCAAACATAGATCGACTAGCTAGGGTTTGGAATCTCCCACAATGGCAATCCTCAACGATGCCCTTAGGATATGATCTCGCCTACCATAATGACAGATCTCGCCCTTAGGTTTTTTCGAAGTCTTGATCTCTCAATTTCTTCGCCAGATTCGGCTATAGATATCAATTTTGTTTCGCATCTTGAATTCTAGAGCTTTGTTTGTCAAAGATTTTCGGCCAACTAGGAGAGCATTTTTCTTGAGGCTTTGGGGTTTCTAAAGTCTTGTACATATGATTTTTAACGATTCCTCCAAGGCCATTTTGTTTCCCTGTTCAACATGTTTTGGCGTATGGTTAGTTTGTTCGCTGCGTCTCCTGTAAGTGCTCATCTTTCTATTTAGATTTATTATTTGTTCTTCTTTTGCTTCGAGTTTTGTGAATATTGAAATTGGTGTGAAGTTCTTGGTTGAGCTTAATTTTCCATCTGTTTAGCCGCAGAGAACACGAATGAAAAAGAAAAGAAAAGAACTCAGATGTTTGATCTCAGTAGATGGAGTCAATCTGAGTTAAAACCCTAGGTCGTACACAGATCTAAGTTGACACCCTATGTTTATTTATTATTTCTTTTACATTTTTTTTTCTGCTATTGTAATGTTGTGATATGTGGCTTTAGATTCTACAATTTTTTGTAGTTGTTGGTTGATGATTGTGGGGAAGTGGTTTGGAAATACTCTTCTGATCCTGGGGGACGCTCGTGATCCTCAGCTAGCCACCTGAAAAGGAATGAACACTCCGATCGGGGGTGCCAGAATTAGCACTCTGACGGATAAGTCAGTATATACTCTCTTGATTGCTTGTATCTTAAGTTAAGCACACTAGTTCTCACATACCTTTCTCTGACTGATGATCCTGTATTTATATTATTCTCTTTGGGCCCTAAAGCCAGGCCTATCCTCGATCCTTTACATGTACTTCTACTCGGTCTTTGTTTTACTAATTGGAAAGCTGATTATTTTATTTGGCTCTTCAATTAACTAGGATCAATGTCAAATAAAGATTATGTCCTGGACTGGACTCGTCTATTCGTCCCTATTGATTGCCGAATAAAGGTTATGTCTCGGACTGGACTCGTTCATTCGTCCCTATTGATCCAATGAAATTCGGCTCCCACAATTGTCCTCCAAACACCCCACTAGCATCAGTTAGTCGGCGTGTTTGGCTTCAAGCCTGGAAAGTCAAAAATTTGGCGGTTAATCTTCTTCCCAATGCGTGTCAAAATGCGCACACGCTTTTTGGTCATTATAACAATTTCCTGTCCCTTCGTACATTGCCTCCATTTAATGTGATTTAAAATTGTCTCTTCGAATGTATGTTTTGAATACTCAAAAATATCTGGTTCACCTTCTAGTGCAACTCCTTCACTTCGCGGCTTCTGTAACTCTTTGTTTCTCGTTTTTCCTTTCGTCTCCTGTAAGGTTTCTCCTCCTTCACTTCCGATCCCCACTTCCTTGTTTGTTTTTAGTTTTTCATAATCCTTGGGCTGGCCAAGATAGCAAAACATCTGAAGGAGCTCCTTTCAGCGGATCGAATCTCCGGCTTTCGACGCCATTTTTCCATCCCCGATGATGTCCATCTATCGCTTTTGGCAGACAGCACCACTAATATGGAGAGGGATGATGAGAGCACAATCGTCTTTCCTCTCCTGTCAATTGCTAAGGGCGGAGTCCGCTTTCCCCTTCACCCATTTTTTAGGGCTGTTCTTCGATACTGGGGTCTAATCCCTTCCCAGCCCAACGTGAATTTTTTTCGCATCATAATGAGGATTGTAGAGCTAAACCGACGTCTTAGGATTAATTTAGGTATACCCGCCGTTCGGCATTGTTATGTCCTAGCCAAATCTACTGGCCGGCTAGGACGCTACTTTCTTAGAGCCAAGGATACCGATCATCACTTAATGACTATGCTTGCCAGCTCTGGCAAGCGTATCGATGACGCGATGGTCGTTGTCCGAGGCAATTGGGAATTCAGCGAGGGTGAAGATTGCCTAGACCCCGTGCCAAGGCGAAAAGGCGAACCAGGTGGCCGATTAGATCACTTTTGTTTCTGTTATTACCATATATGTATTCGGCCCTATATACATCTAATCGCTTTGTTTATGCAGGCAGCGACTTGAAGAGAGTGTTGGTTTCAGACAACGACGCTGTGCTTGCAGAAATTAAAACTGCGCTACAGTTCGTCGGCCGTCCAAACCTTCAAAAACAAGGGAGGGCGGCCCACATTCTCTTGCGGTACGAGTTGACTTACATGACATTTTCGGCGGCGCGATTGTCGACATTTTCGGCGGCACGATTTTCGACTTACATGACATTTTCGCCGAGGAAGTTTGCTGATGTGAAAATCGTGGATTTAAGCACGGTTGGATTAAGGCATTTCAAGCCACGGAGGCTCTCCGAGCAGCGGGCGTTGATTCGGCGTTACCGCTGAACCAACGTGATCATTTCCCCTTTTCTGACTTCGAAGTTGAGAAGAGTGATGACGAGGGAGACGCCGGATAAAAATAGACATTGTAATGCTCAAACACAAATTGCGTGCAAGATCATGTAATTATTGGCTAATTGAATAAAATGTTTCATTTTAAATGTTTGTGTTTCATTTTGAATTTTTACATGCTTAATTAGGCATCTCATTTCGAATGTTTGCATGTTTTGATTTGTTTATGCGGTTGTGCCGGCCTAAGTTAACTAAGCATTTCATTTTGAATGTTTATATGCTTTAATGTGTAAACGGTTTTTGCCGGCTCAACTTAATAGAGCATTCCATTTTGAATATTCGTATGCTTTAACCTTTATTGTGAAGGGCGCACCGAATTCAGAGTCTTATTCAGCCCATAAGTGTCATGCACGAAGGGCGCTCCGAATCCGGAGTCTTAATCGGCCCATAAGTGTCATGCACGAAGGGTGCTCCGAATCTGGAGTTTTAATCGGCCCAAAGGCGTCATGCGCCGATGGGGCTCCGAA